TTGCATGTATACCACCAATAAAAATAAATAAATCTTTAAAAAAAAATCAAGGCATGCAGAGCCAGAAGGCCTGGTTCTGTTTGTTTTCTCTTTAGGATCACTGGCTGCTTTCAGAAATCGGAGGCTTCCAACTCACCTTTAAAGGATGTACATATGTTTATTGCAAAGGCAGATTCACAGCGAGGAGGAGAGACAGAGAAAGATCCTCCATCAGCTGACTCATTCCCCAGGTAGCTCCAATGACTGGAGCTGTGCTCCCCATGCAGCAGTAGGCACCTGTCGCACCTATAAGGCTACCGGGTCATCCTACATGGCACTGGGTTTGACACAGGTGCTCCCCTTCTGGTACTGTGGAAAAGCCAATGTGACACCTGTCACTGTCTGTCCTTCTCTCTGTACCTTTACCTTTCAAACAAAATAAATGGAAGAAATCTTTTTTTTAAAGGTAGCAATAAAAAAATGAAAATTATGATTATATTAGTTTCTTAAGTCCTGTCAAAACAAATGACCATCCCTAGTAGCTTAAAACAACAGAAATTTGTTCACTCATAGAACTGCAAGACAGAAATCCTACCGGGTTTTCTTTCTGAAGACTGTGTGTCTCTACAAGCTGACAGTAGGTGTTGGCAGTACTCGGCACGCCTGGGCTTGCACAACTATCACTCCCAAATCTGCTCCAGTCTCCACATGGCCTGTTCTCTGACAGCCCTTCCTTTCCAGCTCTTAGGAGGACAGATTTGGTGGCTCTGGTTTAAAAGTGTCCTTCTTGGGTCCTGCGGCATGGCTTAGCAACTAAAGTCCTCACCTCGAACATGCCAGGATCCCATATGGGCGCCAGTTCTAATCTCAGCAGCTCTACTTCCCATCCAGCTCCCTGTTTGTGGCCTAGGAAAGCAGTTGAGGATGGCCCAATGCTTTGGGACCCTGCACCATGTGGGATACCCGGAAGAAGTTCCTGGATCCTGGCATAGCATCAGCCGTTGCGCTCTCTTGGGGAGTGAATCATCGGACGGAAGATCTGTCTCTCCTTCTCTCTGTGTATCTGACTTTGCAATAAATAAATAAATCTTTTTTTTTAAAAAAAAGTGTCCCTCTTGGTTCACGAGTTAAAACTTGGATCTCTGTGTGGCCAACATCAAGAAGTTAAAGAACCTGGAAGAAGTGGGGTGTCAAATGAGGCAATGAGGTCACTGTGGGCACTGCCCCCAGAAGGGATTAACACTAGTGTCAAAAATGACTTAGGTCCCATGAGAATGGGTCATTATTTAACAGCAAGACTGGCCACTTTCCAGTCTCTGGCTTCTTGTCCTGCCATATGCTCTACCCTCTCTCATGTACCCCTGCTGATGCCATCTGCATGTTGTGACACAACCAAGGGAACCTATAAAAAATACCTAACACATGGTGTCACCCCAACCTCAGACCTACAGCCTACCAAACTCACACCAGGGTACTGGCTCCATGGCTCAACAGACTAATCCTCCACCTCCACATGTAGGCATCCCATATGGGCGCTGGTTTGGGTCCTGGCTGCTCCAATTCTGACCCAGCCTTGTGCTTATGGCCAGGTAAAGCAGCAAAGTATAGTCTGAGTGCTTGGGCTCCTTGCACCCATGTGGAAGACCCAAAAGAAGCTTCTGGGTTTGAATCCACTCAGCTTCAGCTATTGTTGTTATCTAGTGAATGAGCCAGCAGATGGAAGATCCTTCTCTGTCTTCCTTTTCTCTGTAAATCTGCCTTTCATATAAAAATATATAAATCTTTATGTTGGAGCCCTATACAGTAGCCTATTGGCTAAAGTCCTGCCTTGTAACCACCAGGATCCTATATGGGCACCGGTTCTAATCCTGGCAGCTCCACTTCCCATCCAGCTCCCTGCTTGTGGCCCGGGAAAGCAGTTGAGGACCATCCAAAGCTTTGTGCCCCTGCACCCATGTGGGAGACCCAGAAGAAGTTGCTGGATCCTGGCTCTGGATCGGCATAGCACCAGCCATTGTGTTCTCTTGGGGAGTGAATCATCGGATGGAAGATCTTCCTCTCTGTCTCTCCTCCTCTCTGTATATCTGACTTTCCAATAAATAAATAAATCTTTATTTAAAAAAAACGATGATTGGGCCCAGCACGGTGGCGCAAGTGGTTAAAGGTCCTCGCCTTGCACACCCGGGATCCCATATGGGCGCCGGTTCTAGTCCCGGCAGCCCCGCTTCCCTTCCAGCTCCCTGCCTGTGGCCTGGGAAAGCAGTGGAGGACGGCCCAAGGCTTTGGGAACCTGCACCCGCGTGAGAGACCCAGAAGAGGCTCCTGGCTTCGGATAGGCATAGTATCGGCCTGTTGCGCTCACTTGGGGAATGAATCATCGGACGGAAGATCTTCCTCTCTGTCTCTCCTCTCTGTATATCTGCCTTTCCAATGAAAAAATAATAAAAATAAATCTTTAAAAAAAAAAACCGATGATTGTAACTGAATATTGACTTCCACTCACAAATGAGGCTCAAGAAAGATCATTAAATCAAAAGATCATTCAGGCCAAAGCACCATGAACTAACAATGTTAGAACAGAATCCAGTCCTAGCGGACATCAACCCCAGTCAAGCAGAATGCAAAATGGCACAAGCAAACTTAGACACCGGAATAAATACCAGTAATGAACACGTACACTAGCAGTTGATCCACAGAAAATGTGTTCTACTTATTTGTTTGTTTTATTATTTTCTTGTGGAGCTGGGAGATGAACATCTAGATACTTGGTGAATTTTTGTGTCTAAATCACAATATGTAACCATGGCAACAGCCACTGACGGCTTAGAATGGCATGGGACAGTGAAGATGGGAGTGGCTCAAATCGCAAGTTTCCCACCACAGAAAAGACTCAAATAGTTATCCCTTGAAGGAGTCCAACAAAAGAAAAACCTGTATGTTACAGAAACAAATAACGATTACCTAATTGTTAAATACAAAGAAAATGCATGCATATGTGATATAGTGAGACCCATGTAAGTTTCAGCATGGATGATCAAAAAATGTCAACCTGCCTTTTCAGGTACTAAAGAAGTAACAAACTACACCAAAGTTTCAGCTTTTCTGGCATGGAAATGCCAAGCCAGATTATAGGTCAAAGCCTTCTATGTAAGGATTGTCAAAAATATGATTAAAAAAAAAAACAAAAAAAAAAACGAGTCTTCTAGTTCCATTACTCCACAAACTCTGAAATATCACCAGGGAACTAAAAGGAACCCCAAACACTTCCTCATTCACAGCAGGGGAATCCACAGATAACATGGCCGACACAGCTATGCCTTTGGAGGGGAGTCCTTGCAGGCCCGCGAGAGCCTCTGCAGTCTGAGGCTGCGGTCCCTCAGCCAGGCAGGAGGAGGGAGGTGCCCGCCCCAAAATGGCTTTCCTCCAGGGCAGTCAGCAAAATGGAGTTCTGCAGTCAGCCTTCCTAGCATGCATTCCCCCAGTTACAGAGAGCAAGTACTATTTCTCAGCGCCCTTTCAAGAATAAGAAAGAAGTGACCACAACACTCGAATAAATTACTACCGCACCTAGCCAAGCTTGGAAAATGTGTGTAAATTGGGGTTTTGAGTCTAAGACCTTTTAGCAGAACTAAAACTTTTTTTTAATTATTATTATTAAAAAACCAACCAGAATTTTCAGAGGCATATATCCTTAAAAAACACACACAGAGAGGAATACTGGCAATACAAACTTGATATTTATTACCAAACCTGAACTGGGTAATGAATGGGAGGACATTTTGGATGACTCGCCAGCAGCACGGGGGTTCGGAAAGGATGATTTTAAAGCCATGCTTTAGCCCTAACCTTCTTAAGGATTAGCACCGTCCTTTACAGATTTTCCTGGCCTGGGGGTGGGGGAACGGGTCTGTCCACTCTAGCCAGGGCCTCCCGGCACTAAACTATAACCAACTGATGTTATCTCGGTACGAAGCCAAGCACCCTTTTTTTTCCACAAGGAATCCATTCCTCCCGATGAAACCCCACAGGATCAAACAGTTCTGTCCCCTCAGCATCCCCCAAGTTTCTCTTCACTTTTTCAGTTCGGCTACTGAATTCGACAGGTGTTTTTCCATCTCCCCCCACGTTAAAAAACAACAACAACAAAAATCCCCAGGGGCTGTCCGTGAAGTTACTGGCTTAGGGCTTACAAAAAGAAAAGAAAGAAAACAGGGCCTACTCGGCCTCCATGTTCCACGCTTGGGTCCCGCTTCCCCCGGCATCGATCCTGCGTGTTGCCCGGCAGTAGGTGCCTTTAGCTTCAGCACCAAGCCTTCCCAACGAACCAACACGTCCGTATGCGGCTTCCCACGGCCCGCGTCCTCCACGCCCACGAGCGCGGAGCGCACAGCCGGATCGAGGAGCTGAGAACACCGCACAACTCAATGAGAAACAGATCTCCACGAGAAAAAACGAGGGGCTAGCACGGCTGGGCCCGGCGGCCCCAGGCCCCACCGACCACAGCACCGCGCGCTCCCTGCAGCCTGTGCCGCAGAGGCGCACGCGGGCGCACGGGGTTCTGCCCTGCCATGCGCTCAGGTCCCCGGCCCGGCGTCCCAGGCCCCGCCGACCCCGGCCAGCCGCACCAGGGCCCACCGACCCCAGCCCCGCGCGCTCCCTGCAGCCGGTGCCGCAGAGGCGCACAAGGTTCTGCCCGGCCATGCGCTCAGGCCCCCCCGACGCCTGCCCGGCGCCCCAGGCCCCGGCGCCCCCGGCCCGGCGCCCCAGACCCCGGATACCCCTGCCCGGCGCCCCCGGCCCCGCGCGCTCCCTGCAGTCGGTGCCGCAGCCGTTGGCGCAGAGGCGCGCGCGGGCGCACGGGGCTCCGCCCAGCCAGGCGCGCGCGGAAAGTCCAGGCGCCCGGCTCGGAGCCCGCCTCTGCGGATGCGGCCGGGCCGCCACCGAATGGCGTGCGGGCCCGAGGGCGGAGTCCGCCCGCCCCGCCCCGGCCACTACTTAAAGAGGCTCGGGAGCCCGACTCCGCCTCACTGCGTTACTTACCTCGACTCTTAGCTTGTCGGGGACGGTAACCGGGACCCGCCGCCAGTTCCCGTCGCCTCGCCTTTGCCTGCTAATCCCGTAGCCACCATGGTGAGTGGGATGACCCTGCTCTGCACGGGGGGACGGAGCCCTGGGGCAGGCGAGGATTAGGGGCGCCCGACGGCCAGCGGGTGCTCACGGAGGGGGTCGGGGGAGGCGCGGGCGAGACCCGGGCTTGTGCGGGATGGCGAAGCCCCTGCGAGGGGAGGGTACCGCGGCCTGGGGCGCGCGCGAGCGGCGGGTGGGGAGCCGCCATGGACCACTGAGCCTGGGCGCACGAGGCCTGTGGCGGGGTCCCCTCCCCCTACCCGCGTGCCTCGGCCTGCCGGACACGCGCACTCCCCCCCCACACGCCGGCCATCACTTCCTCTTGGGCGCGAAAGGCGGGGGCGGGAAGGCAGCGAGAGCTTGGCGCGCATGCGCGACCGTTACCTTCCCGCCGCTGCTCGGCGGGAAACTGCGGCGCATGCGCGCTGCGGCGCTGCGGTCTGGCCGCAGGGCGTGGCCCCGAGACTTTGCAGTTAAGCTGACTGAAAATGGAGGATGGGGTGGGGGGGCCTCCTCCCGGATGTGCAGCTGTGTCTTAGCGCAGCTAAGCCCCGCAGCCTGTGAAGGCCCTCTGCCCCGCCGGGCTGCGTCAGCATTTTGTGTGGCGGCAGGTGTTGGCGCTTAGAGATGGTAAACGGGGAGAAATCGGATCTTCACAGATGTGGGTCGCTGATAATCCCGTGCATGCTGGGCTGAGCCCGGCGCCTCCGGGCAGGGGAGGGACGCGGGGAGCTGCCCGGGCACGCACACCCTTCTGCCGCAGCGCCACGCCCTGGGCCTGCGGTCAGCCCTTCACCTTGGGACTCCCCACATGGGGGGACATGAGGTGCACGGAGCCCTGGCCGCCCTCCCCAAGACTCCCCTGCCCAAGCATGAGCTCCTGTAAAGCCACCCAATTGTGGGTGAGAAGGGAAACTCATTCTGAGACGGGTAGCCGTTATGCTTCAGGGGCTTTTAGACGAGGTAATTTAAGATTATATTATTTTCTCTCTCATCTTCCACCATATCCACCCCGTTCCGGCCCGGCAAGAATAAACCTCCCAAAGTTTAAAAAAAAAAACACTTTTTACACAGCTACCTACGGATTTGTTTCAAATTCCAAATTTTCCTCCGTTTTTCCACTCTCACAGCGTGAGTGCATCTCCATCCACGTGGGCCAGGCTGGTGTGCAGATCGGCAATGCCTGCTGGGAGCTCTACTGCCTGGAACACGGCATCCAGCCCGATGGCCAGATGCCAAGTGACAAGACCATTGGGGGAGGAGACGACTCCTTCAACACCTTCTTCAGCGAGACAGGCGCTGGCAAGCACGTGCCCAGGGCCGTGTTTGTAGACCTGGAGCCCACGGTCATTGGTGAGCTGCCAGTGGGTGTGGGGGGTTGGCCAGGAGGTGTGTGCTGGGGGAGCCCCTGGTGCCGCAGGGAGGGGCGGGGTCCGTGACAGGTGGCCCATCTGCTTCCCCTCTGCAGATGAAGTTCGCACTGGCACCTACCGCCAGCTCTTCCACCCCGAGCAGCTCATCACGGGCAAGGAAGATGCCGCCAATAACTATGCCCGCGGGCACTACACCATCGGCAAGGAGATCATCGACCTGGTCCTGGACCGCATCCGCAAGCTGGTATGATTACTCCCCATAAGAAAGCACATTGATGGGTTAACAAACATTTGAACTGAAGTAAAGAGTTAGATGACTTTTAAGATTCTTTAAAAATTCAGTTAAAATGTGAATTGTCTGGTACCATCTTATGAAAATTGAGGATGTTTAAATTAAGAAGTGTTGAGTAATTCCAAGATATACCCTTTCTAAAAGGCATTTTTAAGATAAATCTGAATCCTTGAGATGTAGGAAGAAACTGCTTACTATGATGGTATCACAAACAACAAACGAAAGCTTCATGTTTGCTTCATTCCTGTCTCCTAACAGGCTGACCAGTGCACGGGGCTGCAGGGCTTCCTGGTTTTCCACAGCTTTGGTGGGGGGACCGGCTCTGGGTTCACCTCCCTGCTGATGGAGCGCCTCTCTGTCGACTATGGCAAGAAGTCCAAGCTGGAGTTCTCCATCTACCCGGCCCCCCAGGTCTCCACAGCTGTGGTGGAGCCCTACAACTCCATCCTCACCACCCACACCACCCTGGAGCACTCGGACTGTGCCTTCATGGTGGACAACGAGGCCATCTATGACATCTGTCGTAGAAACCTTGACATCGAGCGCCCCACCTACACGAACCTGAACCGCCTGATCAGCCAGATCGTGTCCTCCATCACAGCCTCGCTGCGGTTTGACGGAGCCCTGAATGTTGACCTGACAGAGTTCCAGACCAACCTGGTGCCCTATCCCCGCATCCACTTCCCTCTGGCCACTTACGCCCCTGTCATCTCTGCTGAGAAAGCCTACCATGAACAGCTTTCTGTAGCAGAGATCACCAATGCGTGCTTTGAGCCGGCCAACCAGATGGTGAAATGTGACCCTCGCCACGGGAAGTACATGGCTTGCTGCCTGCTGTACCGTGGTGACGTGGTCCCCAAAGATGTTAATGCTGCCATTGCCACCATCAAGACCAAGCGTAGCATTCAGTTTGTAGATTGGTGCCCCACTGGCTTTAAGGTTGGCATTAACTACCAGCCTCCCACTGTGGTGCCTGGTGGAGACCTGGCCAAGGTCCAGCGAGCTGTGTGTATGCTGAGCAACACCACGGCCATTGCCGAGGCGTGGGCTCGCCTGGACCACAAGTTTGACCTGATGTATGCCAAGCGTGCCTTTGTTCACTGGTACGTGGGTGAGGGCATGGAGGAGGGCGAGTTTTCTGAGGCTCGTGAGGACATGGCTGCCCTGGAGAAGGATTATGAGGAGGTGGGTGTGGATTCTGTGGAAGGAGAGGGTGAGGAGGAAGGAGAGGAATACTAGTTTTCTATTCCTTGTAGCCCCACAGCTTGTCATACTCACTGAACTTCAGCTTCAACATGAGCTGAGAGCCATTAGACTTTCCTGATGACATTGTCTTCACTCAGCTGTGATCATGTCTGTCTTTTACACGTGTACCTGTAATACTCATCATGTCTGAAAGTAAAGGCTTTAAAAATGTCTCCTGTGCTTTGTGAAGATTAAGTTGTACATACCTGGGGTGTATTGGATGATGTGACACCTGTGTACCCCTCTGCCATCTGTACTTCACAGGGAAAGTGTGCATTAAGCTGGGAAGGCAAAAGACCCACAATGCTTCTAACAATAGCCTACTCCAAATGAAGTGGTTGGTTATGTTTAAAGAGTAATTGGGTCAATGCTAGTGGCTTTTAGTATACTGGCAGTGTTAGTTGAAAGGCTGAGACCCATTGCCCAAGCCATTGGGTGGTCTCCTATCTGGTGGGATTACACTATCGAAGTGGCAACATAAATAAGGCTTGGTACATCTACAGTTTGAAGCAGTTCGCATGCTTCAAATGTGTTCAACTACATCTGAAGAACTGTTAGGGGATCTATAGAAAACCAGAATTTGGGTTAGGGGGATGGTTCCCGAGAGCACAGCCCAGGCCATGCATGCCAATAGCTTGGATAGGATTGGAGCTACCCTTGGCTTCCTGCTGGTGTCACCCTGGGAGGCATGGAGTAGTAGCTGCGTGCCATCCAGTATTGAGTTGTGGACTGTTGGCTTCCACTGAACTCCGCCCCAGCTACATGGTCTTTGGCACTGAATGGAGATTTCTAAAAAAGGAAATAGGTTTTGCATTAAATAACAGTAAAGGAGGCTATGCAATTTTCACAATTTCTTAGCTCATATATCCTACAGAAGTACAGAAAACTGGTTTGGCAGACATTTTAGAAAAAGCTTCAGTGCGTGGCTCTATAGGTCCAGGACACTGAGACAGGGCAAGCAGAAGGCAGAGTGGCTTATGGCGCAGAGGGGATTCGTTTCTCAGTGCTGAACTGATCAAGGAAGACTGCCTTGAATGATACGACATCCTCGCTTTACTGAAAAACAGATGGAAAGGTGTTAAATTCGCCTGGGAATCAGCAACCACGCCAAGCAGCTTGCTTTCCAGAAAGGTTCCCAGGTGGCCTAGGAGTGCATCTAGGCCAGCCTATGTGTCAGGGTGCTTTTTCAGGATTCAGGAGGCAGGCAGGACTGAACAGCCAGATTTTCACATGTCTCGACTGCGCTTGTTTCATTGAGAAGTAAAAGTGAGCTCTCATCATGCACAAGTCCTCACTGCTGAAAACCAAACGGGAAGCTCTGGTGAAAACGTTGAGGCTCATCCATGCCACCTCCAAGTTGTTCCATGCTGTGGGGATGCAGCACGCTAAGCCGCCATTGGGCTTTTGTCACAATATGTTCAGCCTTTTTTTAAAGGCATATTTATTTTTATTGTAAGGTCAGATATATAGAGAGGGGGAGACACAGGAAGATCTTCCATCCACTGATTCACTCCCCAAGTGGCCGCAATGGTTAGAGCTGACCTGATTTGAACACAGGAGCCAGGAGTTGCTTCAAGGTCTGCCACAAGGGTGTAGGGTCCCCAGGCTTTGGATGCTCCTCTACTGCTTTCCCAGAACACAAGTAGGGAGCTGGATGGAAAGTGGAGCAGCTGGGATAAAATCCAGCGCCCATATGAGATTCCAGGGCATGCAAGGTGTGGACTTTAGCCACTAGTCTACTGTGCTGGGCCCTGTATTAAAGCCTCTTTACTTGCGGTGCCAGCATCCCATGTCAGAGTCCCAATTTGAGTCCCAGCTGCTCCTTTTCTGACCCAGCTCCCTGTTAATTGCATGGGAAAGTAGTGGATGCTAGCCCAGTTGCTTAGGCCCCACACACCTATGCGAGAAACCCAGACGGAGTTGCCATTTCCTGGCTCCTGGCTCCAGCCAAGCCCATACTGTTGGCCACTTAGGAAGTAAACCAAAAGATACTCTCCCTCCACCATCACTTCACCTTTCAAATACATAAACACATAAAGGATTTTTAAAAAAGATTTGTTTATTTTTTATGGAAAGGTAGATATACAGAGGATTAGAGACAGAGAGGAAGATCTTCCATCTGATGGCTCACTCCCCAAGTTGCTGCAATGGCTGGAGCTAAGCGAATCTGAAGCCAAGAGCCAGGAGCTTCTTCTGAGTCTCCCATATGGGTGCAGAATCCAAAGGCTTTGGGCTGTCCTCCACTGCTTTCCCAGGCCACAAGCAGGGAGCTGGATGGGAAGTGGAGTAGCTGCTCAGATTAGAACCAGTGCCCATATGGGATCCCGGAGAGTGGCGAGTTCAAGGCGAGGGCTTTAGCTGTTAGGCTGTCGTGCCGGGCCCCATAAAGGTTCTTTCAAAGAAAAAGCATGGACCAGGCACAGTAGCCTGGTAGCTACATCCCTGCCTTGCATCCACTGGAATCACATATGGGTACCAGTTCGTATCCCAGCTACTCCACTTCCCCTACTGCTCCATGTTTGGGGCTTGGGAAAGCAGTAGAGAATGAAGCAAAGCCTAGGAAGCCTGCCCTCACATGGGAGACCAGGAAGAAGTTCCTGGCTCCTGACTTCGAATCAGTTCAGCTCTGGCCACTTAGGGCATGAATCGGCAGATGGAAGATCTCTTTGTACCTCCTTCTCTCTGTAAATCTGCCTTTCCAATAAAATAATAATAATGAATCTTATAAAAGGAAGAAAAATCACCAGTTGGGACACACATCCGCTGTCAGGGTACTGGTTCAAGTCCCAACCCCTGACTCCTGGCTTTGCCCTGAAAGCTTTGTGCGGTGAATCACAGGATGGCAGACCGACCTCGCTGTCTCTTTCTTTTCCCTCCCCATGACTATGCCTTTCAAATTAATTGAAGTGTTTCAGGCATGGGGGAGGGAAAGCATTTTACTTGTAAACATGGACCCTGTGAGTTTTGTATGTAATTTCCAATTCCTCTTGTGTCTTGTCATTGTGCAGTCTCCTACTATCCTGAATAATACTGACTGACATGTATAAAGAATAAGATATTGCAGAAGTAACTTTGTTGCGGCTTCCAATCTTGCCTTTTAACGGATCATGCAACCAGAGAAGCCAGGTCACATGGGTGCGTTAGCAGGAAGCTGGATCAGAAGCGGGGATAGGATTCAGCCCCGGGCATTCCAATGTGATGGCAGGAGTCCCAAAAACCTGCCCTTTAGAGGTTTTCCATTTTCCACTGTTGAGACCCAACTTTCAGTATTTCTGGTTGCCTTAAAGATTTATTTATTTTTATTGGAAAGGTGGGTTTACAGAGAAAAAGATCTTCCATCCCCTAGTTCACTTCCCAAATGGCCACTATGGCCAGAAGACAGGAGCCAGAGGCCTCCTCCGGATATCCCAAGTGGATGAAGGGTCCCAAGGACTTGGACTTTCCTCTGCTGCTTTCCCAGGCCATAAGCAGGGAGTTGGGTCAGAGGTAAAGCATCTGGGACACAAACTGGTACCTATGTGGGATGTCAGCATCTGAAGGTAGAGAGTTAACCAGTTGAGGCATAGTGGTGACTTCCTGGTTACTTTATATATGTATACTGCTCAGGTCAAGGGAAACTCTATTGAGGCCTTGGAGCTTGCAGGTGGATCAGCCATCCCTGGGATGGGGCAGGCCTTTATCTGACCTTCTTCTTGGGGCACAGGTTAGTGGTAGCTAGTGGTGTGTGGGTACGGACAGGTGTAGCACTTGTGGCAGATCATCTTGTTGCAGCTGTACTTCTGGGCGAGCTGGCACAGGGAAGGCTCATGATGCCCCCTCACAGGCGGAGCCCCAGTTACAGGGTAGACTATTTCTAGATTTTGTAGTCCTGACACAGAGTATGACTGTCCTCCAGCTGTCTGCTGGCAAACATCAGACGCTGCTGCTCAGGCAGATGGCCTCCTTGTGTTGGATTCTGGCCTTGACATTCTCAATGGTGCTGCTAGGTTCTATCTTTTTTTTTTTTTTTAAGATTTATTCATTTTTGTTACAAAGTCAGACATACAGAGATGAGGAGGAGAGACAGAGAGGAAGATTTTCCGTCCGATGATTCACTCTCCAAGTGAGCCGTAACGGTTGGCGCTGTGCTGATCCAAAGCTGGGAACCAGGAACCTCTTCGGGTCTCCCACATGGATGCAGGGTCCCAAGGCTTTGGGCCATCCTTGACTGCTTTCCCAGGCTACTAGCAGGGAGCTGGATGGGAAACAGGGCCGCCAGGATTAGAACCGGCGCCCATATGGGATCCCGGGGCATTCAAGGCGAGGACTTTAGCCGCTAGGCCACGTCACTGGGCCCTGCTGGGTTCTATCTTAAGAGTGCTGTGCTTGCCCCTGAGGGTCTTCATGAAGATCCACATTTTGGTGTCTGAGGGACTGCTCGGCTGCTGCCACCAACTCGCTGAACAGCCTAGCTGAAGAGAAAGGCGATGGCGGAAGGTCTGGTTGCCTTTTAAGCTATCCTTTAGAATAGACATCTTGGAGCAGGCATTTTATGCAATGCAGAAAGCTCATATTCCACACTGGACTGCCTGGGTTCAAATCCTGATTGGACTCCAGACTCCATCTTCCTGCTAATGCATACCCTGTGAAACAGCAGGTGAGGCACCAAGCGCTCAGGTCCCTCCCTGCCACCCTGGTGGGAGACGGGGACCGAGTTTCTGGATCCTAGCTTCAGCCAACCATGTCTTGGCACTTGAGGGCATATGAAGACAAAACCGGGGGATGGGACATAGTCAATATAGCTTTACCTTCCGAGTAAATAGCAGGGGACAGGCACATTGGTAAAGACATCTGAGCCTCCACCTGCAGCACCAGAATTCCCTAAGGGTGCCTGTTGGAGTCCCAGCTGCTCCACTTCCCATCCAGCTCCCTGCTTGTGGCCTGGGAAAGCAGTGGAGGACGGCCCAAGTCCTTGGGCCCCTACATTCACATGAGAGACCCAGAAGAAGCTGCTGGCTGTCAGCTTCAGACTGGCTCAGCTCTGGCCATGGCAGGTGTGTGGAGAGTAAAACAACAGATGAAGAATCACATTTTGTCCCCTCTTCTCCCTCTGTATCTCTGGCTTCTAAAGAAAAAGAAAATTGAAAATCAATTAATCACTATTATGGGGTGTGAGAAATCATGCCAGTCAAGT